ATATTATCATAGAGGAAGAAATAGCTATTACTATAACCAATGTCAAGATGTTAACTAATTGTCATCTTAGTAACACTCCCCAACTTTGATATAGAGATAGTATTTTGAAAGAAAGAATTAATATTCAAGGAAGAAGATTAAAGAAAATAACTCACAACTTACAAATTCATTAAGCTTCAAAGTAGCAAAACCAAGATGGAAGAGTTTAGCTCCTCATTTGGAGACTAAACATGATAAAAAATATAAAGAAAGAGCTATTCTATACTGAGCTTAGATGTATAAGGGATTGGATATCTTTTTGTGAAGGAAAGGAGGTGTATTTATAGGTTTTTGGGATGGGATTCGGGTACTCGATCGGGTATATACATGGTACCCGATCGAGTATGTGTGTAACACCCGATCCGAGGCATACTCGACCGGTTTTAGGCTATTTTCTAAGTGTATACCCGATCGAGTATATATGAATACCCGGTCGAGTATGCTTAGAAAGTGGTATTCGGGCTATACTCGACCGATCTTCGTTTGCAATTTAAAGGCATACCCGATCGGGTATGTCGGTCTACCCGATCGGGTATAGACATAGAATCGTGGCCAAAATCTTCCCTGCATGTTCCTTTGTCTTCGGATCTGATCTGATTTGAAGTTCCAACCTAATACCCGATCGAGTATAGCTAATACTCGACCGAGTATAGACCAAAATTCAGGATCTTCTTTTGTCTTTGAACTTTTGCACCTTCTCTTCACTTTTTGGGTTCACCAACTGTACTTTGGGTGAACAAAACCTGCTTAAGCTCAGAATATATCTAATCTAACCTATTTACAAGAATTTAACAATCTAATCTATTACACCAAAAGTGTGTAATTTCCAAAGTAAAAGTCAAGCAAAACTAATTAAAAACATAAACATAGAAATGGAAATTACGAACGTATCATTAATCTTTAACAAATGATACTTCATTTGAGCATATTCATGCTGATTAATCTTACTTGTCAAAGTGGCCAAATGATATCTTTCTCTTGCTACACGAGAGTCACAAAAAACCATCTTGATAATTCACATATCACTACATGATTCATAATATGTATAATCACCACCTTTGTAATTACCCATTTAAAGATAACATTTAATGGTGTTAATAGATATTAATTTACATGTAAGTAACCATGATTATCTCAAATATAAGGATATAACACCTCATCATTATTGATTTATTGAGAACAACATTGATAACATATAACTTACAGTGTCCTCAAGTTGGGTCTGTCTAATTAACTTGTTTACTAACAAGCATCCATGTTATTAACTTGAATCTCTATACCCGTGAGTCATGACTAATGCAATATAGTCATCAGTTAATCAACATATTGGTCTATTAATTATCAATGTCCCAAATTAATAATATTAGACCATGGACAATTAGAATATTATGCTTATTAGAAAGTGTAACATTCCACAATTAAGTCACATACTTAATTAGCTACTAAACATAATGTTCAGGGACTAAATATTAATAAAGAAAACTCACAATAATAAATTAATAATTAACATAAA